GATTCAGTCTAATCTGGGTAAAATCATCCTGAAGGAGGAGTTAGATAAATCTGCAGCTCCTCTGAGGAGGAAAACTCGTTCTCTACCGGACCGCAGTCAACACGCTGGTACTTTTCACTTGTTATATATATATGTATATATATATATTATGGAGTTTATTGTTATTGTTATTAAAATCATTCAGTGAAAGTAGCAGTACCATTCTAATAAAATGCTAAATGTTCTGCACTGATACTTTTAAGAGTAAAAAAACAGCAAATTATTAAGTATCAAAAGTAAAAAAAAGTTCAACTTGTCCATAGCTTTTAAATCTGAGTCTGAAAAGTAATTAGCAGCAAACTAAGTACATTTACCCAAGTAAGTATAATTTTGAGGTACTTGTACTTCACTTGAGCTGTTCCATTCTCTGCCACGTTGTACTTGTACTCCACCTAGTGGTCAGAATGACTCCAGGCAACATAATGTGACTTCATTCATAATGAATCATTACATACATCACAGTAACTTTATACTTCAATGAACTGAACATTGAAATTTATCTTTTTATTTGAATGAGTACTTTTACTTCTGGTACTTTGACATTGTATTGATTATTTTGAATTCAGGACTTTTACTTCTAGCAGGATATTTCTACACTGTGGTATTAGTACTGCTTACTTTTATTGTTTTTACATACAGTGATATTAGTACTGACTCAGCACTATAAACTATTTGACCTGTTCCCTCCTCTTCAGGGTCCAACGCCTCCAGGTCGGTGTATTTCCCAGCATCCTCTAGGAGCGGCCTGTCCGGGGTGAGTCCCGCCGAACAGAACCGACCAACCAGAGCAGAGTTTACTGATGGTGATGATGAGCGTGTCTCTGTTTGTTTTTCAGCTTCGGTCTGCAGAGTTCAGCTCCTCTGAGAAAACTCCAGCAGGTCGGTCACATATCAGATAAACACATTTTATTTCTTCTATATTTTATGTTTTTCTGGTGTTACATCTTAAAAAAATCATTTTCATTGTTATATTTGTAGTTAATTTTGCTTATGAGCCCTTAAAATAAAGTAATGTCTACTTATAACTTATATTTAATCAGGTAATCTCATCGAGATCAACATGTTTATTTGCAGGAGGAAAAAAAACTGTCACTAAATAGACTTAAAGTTTAATTTAATTTAATTTAAGTGAATTATTTTAGTCTGCATTTCTATATTCAGACTAAAATGTGATTATTTTGGAACCTGAAGAGACAAAATAAACATTTATTTAAATGCAGAATGTCTTCTAATGAAATATAAAAACAAAACATCGGCTTCATATTTGATATATGATTTGATGATTGTCTGTTATTGATTGATTTTTCGGGGTCCATTGAATTAAACCTGCGTCATAAATGTATTTATATTCATATTCTACTTTATTCACTTCTTGTCAGTCAGTAACATTGTCTTTATTCTCTCTCTTCCTGCAGATCTTCAGGTACAGTCTGATTCATTCATGTTCAGATGTTCTCTATAGTCATGAATATAATAATAATAATAATAATAATATCTGTGTGGGACAGAATGGAGACTCCGGGATGGACCGAGGAAACTCACTCCCCAGCATGTTGGAACAGAAGGTAACACTTCATACATGATTCATGTACATATACAATATATCACATCTAGAGTACAGGTACAGGTACAAGTACATGCTTCATTTGAAGTATTATATTACAGTTCAGCATATATATTATGTCCCAATAATCCATAGTTACAGTTTGAGTTTGAGTTTGAGTTTAAAGATTTTCAGAGCATTAATATAACATCAACTAATATTTTCTATGTAAATATATATATAGTGTTGCTTGGTTGATTGATTGATTGGATGGATGGAATGATGAATGGAATGATGAATGGATGGATTGATGGATGGATGGATGGATGGATGGATGAATGGATGGATTGATGGATGGATGAATGGATGGATGGATGAATGGATGGATGGATGGATGGAATGATGAATGGATGGATGGATGGATGGATTGATGGATGGAATGATGGATGGATGGATGGATGGATTGATTGATGGATGAATGGATGGAATGATGGATGGATGGATTGATTGATTGATTGATTGATCTCTGTAGATCTGCCCCTATGAGGTGCTGGCGGTGACCCACAGAGGGCGGAGCAAGCTGCCCCCCGGAGTGGACCGAACCAGGCTGGAGGTAAAACTATAGAACGTGTTCTCAGAAAGGAGTAGAACTATAGAACGTGTTCTCAGAAAGGAGTAGAACTATAGAACGTGTTCTCAGAATGGAGTAGAACTATAGAACGTGTTCTCAGAAAGGAGTAGAACTATAGAACGTGTTCTCAGAAAGGAGTAGAACTATAGAACGTGTTCTAGAGAACTGGACACCAAACTCAGAGATGGATTCATGAGAAGCTGCTGCTGTGGAGGTCTTCTGTCTGAACCATCTTTGTCTCTCTTTCTCTCTCTCTCTCTCTCTCTGTCTCTCTGTCTCTCTCTCTCTTTGTCTCTCTCTCTCTGTCTCTCTCTCTATCTCTCTCTGTGTCTCTCTGTCTCTCTCTGTGTGTCTCTCTGTCTCTCTCTCTTTGTCTCTCTCTGTCGCTCTCTCTATCTCTCTCTCTTTGTCTCCCCCCCTCCCAGAGTCACCTCTCTGAGGAGGAGTTCTTCAGTGTTTTCGGGATGTCCATCGAGGAGTTCGACAGCCTATCTCTCTGGAAGAGGAACGACCTGAAGAAGAAAGTCTGTCTCTTCTGACAACACCGCTGGAACCGCATCTCTGCTCTGTTTGGATCACTGTGGGATCCTGAAAACACCACGGACTCGTTATAATCAGCACCGCCATCGTCACAGCGAGACGCACAGGTTCCTACTGCACACATGAACGCTACATGAAGCAATGTCTGCTTCATGAGCTTCAGCTCCTAGATGTCAATCAATGTGATCAATAACCAGACTACAGAGAGACGAGCTATGGAAGCACAGAGCGGGTCGGCGTTTAATGGCCTCTGGAAGCAAACAAACTCCAGAGGGTTTGACCTGGAAGTGAAGAGCCCGGTAACATCAGCTTTGTTTAGTGTGGACGAAATTCATTTAAGTTCAGAGAAATCGCTGCAATCAGCACAAGTAGATTTACTCTGAAACTGTCCTGACAGTCTGGAGGCTACAGAGCTCCACACACATCAACCGAAAGACACACAAACGACACTGCAAATGATCAAAATACATGACAATTAATTCACAGAACATTTCTTTTGGTTTTTATTCACTTTCAAAATGATGAAGATGGTTTCTTCTTCTGCTTGAGTTCTCTCAAGTTTGTTTTGAGCTCTTTCAGCCTCCGTAGATCTAGAGAGTCCATCTTAGTTAACGTGTAACCAGCTAGTTAACATGTTACCAGCTAGTTAACATGTTACCGGCTAGTTAACATGTTACCGGCTAGTTAACATGGTACCGGGTAGTTAACATGTTACCGGCTAGTTAACATGTTACCGGCTAGTTAACATGTTACCGGCTAGTTAACATGGTACCGGGTAGTTAACATGGTACCGGGTAGTTAACATGTTACCGGCTAGTTAACATGGTACCGGGTAGTTAACATGTTACCGGCTAGTTAACATGTTACCAGCTAGTTAACATGTTTGTAGTTAGTAAAAACGTAACCAGTTAGCTGGCCACGTATGTTATCTAGGAGTCGGTGATAACAATACAGCCCTTTATATTCCATTATGTTGTGATTTTTACTAAATAAATTAGTAAAAATCAATCATTTGTTTTGGGCTACTTAAGCAAATCAAATGCTAGACAAAGGTATTCCAGGGTATCATAAAGGTATTTATAAATCAAATGTTGAATATTAAATGATCCTGCTCGCTGCGTTAATGCCCCCACAGATCTTAAAGGGTACAAACAGTGAATAGACAAGTTTATAGCTTCCACACATGAACTCACTTCCTGGTGTGACCCGGCCCACGATGCGTTCAAGTCCTCTGGGTTTGTTACTCTCGTCAACAGCTGATCTTCACATGTGAAGCTCAGTCGTTTGGTTGTAGTGGTGGAATTCTGGGAAATGAAGTTGATTCTAGACGGACACGAAGCTGCAGACGGAGTTTGTTTTATTCACATCAAACTGCGGAAATATTTTACTGCGGAGCTTCCAGCTGCTGTCGGGTTTCAACACAGATCTGATTGTAGGAATAAACCTGTCAGAGATCTTTCAAAACAGATTGTTCCTATTGGCTTAGCCAGCTATGATGTCATAATGACAGCATTTCTTATCCCAGCACCTAACAAGAAAAAACAACAAGGAGACAGTTTGATCGCAGACGGATGTTTAACAACATTTAACATTTTATAAAAGTGTAACAAACGAGCTAAACTTCTTATTTTTTTAAATAAAAATTTTATATTTATTTTATTGATTTATTGAATTATTTTCTTCCTCAATGGAAAGGTCGTTACATTTTTCTTCTGCTTAACTTTCCAAATTCAGGATTTAATTCAAAATGTTATTTGGAAGGAAAACCTTTAGAATGTAGATCGTGACGCAGACTTTAACGTTTTGAAAAGTTCAATTTATTTTTAATAAGAGATGGTGTCACTAACTTCACATTTGACCAGTTATCGTGTTGATATTCAGGTATAATGGTCACCATCTTAGTTTAACGTGCTAACATTAGCTCATTAGCAGTACACACAGTAGAGCTGCATAGTTCTGCAGGAATTTGGCCATAAACCAAAATATTGAGTTTATGATTTCACGTTTATATTTTAATGTTTAACTCCAGAGAACAATTTAAGGACAAAACCCCTGAAATAAATGTTAAATCTAACAAATCATCACGTCAACGCTCAGCTCCTATTGGCTGAGATCAAACTGTCCACTTCCTGTTCTTTTCTTTTGTAATACAGCAAAAGCCACTGCCCTGTTTAATCTCAGCACACACAGATACATACATATATATATATATATATATATATATATATATATACATATATATATATATATATATATATATAAATATAAACACATATTCTGCAGTATGGAAGAACAATAATAACGATAGAACCGGGTGAAGCTCTGGTTTGTCCAGTGAGCCGGTCGTAGACATGTAGTGTTGCTTAGTGACCAGATGATGTGCAGCTATTTTTAATAACACAGAGAAAGAAGAGCATGTTCGTTTATTAAAATCTAAATGAAAAAAAAGAAGAGAAGACGGACGGAAAAGAGACATAAAGGGCAAACTTCACTGGACTGATTCCCAAACCAAAGGAGGACAGATGCATGATGGGAAATAATTGGAGAGCACTTTACGTTGATGATTTTCTTTATTTCTTTCTTTTATTTTGAAAGGAATGATTCCGCTGTTTGGTGACACTGAGAGGGTTAACGCTTTGTTCTGATTGGTTGTGTTCATGTAGAAACAGGAAGTGGGTTTGCTGTGATGAACACCATGATGACACAGAGATTGTTTCATGTTTTCTTTCTTCTTTTGTATTTTAAAGTGTTTTTTCTTCTTTTTTTAGTGAATTATTTCAACACGCAGAACGACTTTTGGGACGCACGTCACCGCCACCATGTCAGATATTGTGCATGATGTCATGATGCTGATGTCACTTTATTTAAACCTTTAATTAGACAGAGTTGTATGACGATGATGGCGGGTAGAAGGTTCTGGTCTCAGAGGACCAAGACTCTGAGTTTAAAGCGATGCATCTCTGGACTCGTTGGCGGTGGCTCCTCTCTGTACATACTGAACCACTGGATGACATTATGATTATTGTTGTTGTTTTCATATCTGGATGCAGGTGGTGTAACAGACGGATGGTGACGTGAATGATTAACAAGAGTTACAATAAAGAGCATTTCTATTGGCTTTGTGTTTATCTCGTGATTAATGACACAAAGCTCCAGCTTCATTCATACAATGTGTCTGTACTGAAACACAGTGCTTCTTCTAGCTCGATGCTAACGTTAGCGTGCTAACATGCTGATGTTTATATATACTTTTCCCTCCATTTGAATGTCCTCTTTATTCACAATACTCCACCAAGCTCTCAAATCCATATTGTAGTCTATTTCGGTAAAAAATACCTCACAAATCTGCTAAACTCTCCTTTAAATGATGTCTCACTGATGTTATTTTACTGATTAAATCTTGTATCTTTATTTGTAATATTTCTCTCTATTTGATCCTCTATGTAAAGTGTCTCTTGAGTTTTTTGAAAAGCGCTTATTAAAATAAATAAATGAATAAATGTGATATTATTATTGGTAAACGCCATGATGGCCATAGAGTATGAGAAGATATTAACATGCAACAGTGACCAAGGAGGGAGGGGCTTAGCGAGGGATTCAACTCTAAATCTGATTGGTGTTTGGTAACAGCCAATCAGAAGCTGTGTAAATCTTTATCATCCTCCTCTCGTGGTGATGGGTGTGTTCCTCTCTCTCCTCCCCCATCATGTCACCAAGAGGACGGACTGGAAGTACTTCACACAGACCAGAGACCCACAGAGACTCACTGAGGACGGACTGAACAGGTCTACAGAGACCCAGAGAGACTCACTGAGGACGGACTGAACAGGTCTACAGAGACCCAGAGAGACTTCACTGAGGACGGTCTGAACAGGTCTTCATAGACCCAGAGAGACTCACTGAGGATGGTCTGAACAGGTCTTCATAGACCCAGAGAGACTTCACTGAGGACAGTCTGAACAGGTCTACAGAGACTCAGAGAGACTCACTGAGGACGGACTGAACAGGTCTACAGAGACCCAGAGAGACTTCATTGAGGACGGTCTGAACAGGTCTTCATAGACCCAGAGAGACTTCACTGAGGACAGTCTGAACAGGTCTACAGAGACCCAGAGAGACTTCACTGAGGACGGTCTGAACAGGTCTACAGAGACTCAGAGAGACTTCACTGAGGACAGTCTGAACAGGTCTACAGAGACTCTGTTGGATGTTTTGGACTCTTGAGAAGAGAAATGAGACAGAAGATCAGCAGCTACTGAGAGGACGGACATGGACAAACAGAAAGGTACCGTGTTTACTTTATTATTCATTAGACAACACTCACGTTTATTTTGTTTATGTGAATGAATAATAATTAATTCTGGGACAATAATGAGTATGTTTCATAAACATAATGTCTCATGAATCAGGTCAGACATGATCCGCTTTTATGTGAATTTGACATTTGTTTAATATTAAATATTACATGTAAAAGATAAGCTAAGCTGGGACAGAAATAAGTCGAGATAAATAGATTTCAATAAATAAATACAGGTGTATGAAATAAAAATAAGAATATAATAAAAATAGAATCCATACAAGAGCAATTCAAATAACAGAAATACAATTTCACATGTATAATGTTAGATATAGACATACATTCTATATATTTTAATCATTTTACTGTACTGTTCTATGTTGTGTTATTCATAGTGTATCCAGTGTGTGTTGTTATTACCTCACTATAAAAATAAAGGTGACGGCATACTATTTATAATCAGCTTATAAACACTTAATAACACTGAAATAAGTAGTAAACATGTTGTTTTAAAATGTTCAGTATTGGTCGACAAGTATAACTTCAAGACATATTTGATGTTTTTACAACTCTGCTGTATTGTCATTTATCATCTGTTCATACAGCAGCCCCCATGTGTGAAAACATGAATAATAACCAGTGTGTTATTACGTGTTCATATGGAGATTAATCATAATAAATAAGGGACTCTGATTCTCTCACAGCTGGTGAATAATACAATAACTGAATCAGTCAAAGAGTGCGGCGTCTTTATCACACTGGTGGTATGTTAACTACCGTCATCATCACTTCCTCCTCAGGGGACGGAGCTAATAGACTGTTTAGACTCAGACACAGTTTAACCTTTTCCTCCGTCACAAACACTCACTGACTTCTGCACACAAGGATTTATGAGGAGCCTGAGTTCAAACTGTCCCAAACTGTCTCAAACTGTCTCGAACTGTCTCAAACTACCCCGAACTGTCTCGAACTGTCCCGAACTGTCTTTAACTGTCTGAACTGTCTCGAACTGTCCCAAACTCTCCCAAACTGTCTCGAACTGTCTCAAACTGTCCCAAACTGTCTCAAACTGTCTCGAACTGTCTCAAACTACCCCGAACTGTCTCGAACTGTCCCGAACTGTCTTAAACTGTCCGAACTATCTCGAACTGTCCCAAACTGTCCCAAACTGTCCCGAACTGTCTCGAACTGTCCCAAACTGTCCCAAACTGTCCCGAACTGTCTCGAACTGTCTCGAACTGTCCCAAACTGTCCCAAACTGTCTCAAACTGTTATATATAATGTAACATAACTATCATATCCTGATTGTCACAGAACAGTAGTGGGTGTGACCAAACCTCAGTCAGGATGTAATGTCCCCATGTCCTGTAGACATTATTAGACCCACAGCTGAGAATATCACATGAGATGAAAGAGAATTGAGTCGATCGTCTTCAGTAACAGTCCAACAGAGCTGCTCTTGTTTCATCCTAACCTGTAACACCACACAAGAATGCAGCTAATCATGCTAACTGTTGCTGGAGGTAGGAAGTCACTTAGAGCCGGTTGATGCTGTGTGTCTTTAAGTGCAGCTCAGAAATCTTTAAGCTAAATGGTTCTGACCTCCTGTTTTCTATTTTCACCACCCAGAGGATGAAAGAGCGCTGCTCCACACCCTGTTTCCACACAGTTACAGGACCAGCTTCACTGGACACAGTGTTTTCTGTTGATTATCATGCAGAGACACGTAGTAGCATCTTTAACACCTGGACACACAGTGAGCTGAGCTCTGAGACCCTCACTGCAGCAACATGCTTCTTATTGTATTCACATTAGGAGTGAAACACTTTAAATCTCCGTAAACAAACTTTGTTTGGACTTCATCACACAGACTTGAATTTATTTTACTGAAGACAGAGATTAACAAACTTTAAAATCCATAAATACAGAGATTTATGTCTAAATTTATCGAGTTCAATAGAGATAAATATATATATTTACATGTACTGTGTTTATATCACTGTGTTGTAGTTTCTGGTAGATGTTGAGATTGTTTATCTGTTTCTGTTTTTACCAGAACACGATTATCTGTCTTTTATTTAAATGGACGAATAACGGTGGACGTCATTCACTGTGTGTGTGTGTGTGTGTGTGTGTGTGTGTGTGTGTTCTGTAGCATCAAAGCCAGAGACAGGAAGTGATGTTGATGGTCAGATAAGCAGCGTTCAGGAACACAAACTCTTTATTTCTCAGAGCAGCAGCAGGTTTCTGATGTGAAACCATCTTCTGCTGTTCTTCTTCTTGTAAATGATGTTTTTGATATAATGATGTTGTTGTTCATGTTGTTGTTCATGTTGTTGTTCATGTTGTTGTTCATGTTGCTGTGGGTGTGCTGCGGGTGTGTGAGCTGTGTGCAGCTCAGTGTTTAAAACAGCAGCAGGCCGATAAGCAGATCAGTAGGATCCTTAAAGTCAGCAGAGTGGAGTTAATCAGACACATGTAGCCTCGTCTCCCACTCCCTCACAGGGTGAATGGACTCACTCTGTGCGTCTGAATGGAGCTCAAACACAATCACCTTCTGTCTCTCTGCATTCTCCACATTCTCAACTCCTTCACATGACAATTCAAACTGTTCTGAGATCAGTTCTGTCAAAGCTCTCAGGATCGTTCACTATGCTTTGGTTTTAAACAGCAACAGGAAACAACAGAAATCCTCTTTAGACTTTTCAACCAGTAACTGCTCATGTTCTGTGTGGTTCCAACGGGTCTGACTCCTGTCAATCATATGATATCATGATATATGGAACACATTTAAACATGCATCGTCTTTAATAAGGTTCTACTGGTCGGTGGTGAGATTCTAAAGGTCCTTCAGAAGGTTCTCGTCATGCTATAGGATGTTCTAGAGGTCCTATGGAGGTCATTGGGACGGTTCTAGTCATGCTATAGGTGGTGCTAGAGGTCCTTTAGGTGGTTCTAATCATGCTATAGGTGGTTCTAGAGGTCCTTTAGGTGGTTCTAATAATGCTATAGGTGGTTCTTGAGGTCCTTTAGGTGGTTCTAGTCATGCTATAGGTGGTTATTGAGGTCCTTTAGGTGGTTCTAGTCATGCTATAGGTGGTTCCTGCGGTCCTTTAAGTGGTTCTAATCATGCTATAGGTGGTTATTGAGGTCCTTTCGGTGGTTCTAGTCATGCTATAGGTGGTTGTTGAGGTCCTTTAGCTGGTTCTAATCATGCTATAGGTGGTTCCTGAGGTCCTTTAGGTGGTTCTAATCATGCTATAGGTGGTTCTTGAGGTCCTTTAGGTGGTTCTAATCATGCTATATGTGGTTATTGAGGTCCTTTAGGTGGTTCTAATCATGCTATAGGTGGTTGTTGAGGTCCTTTAGGTGGTTCTAATCATGCTATAGGTGGTTCTTGAGGTCCTTTAGGTGGTTCTAGTCGTGCTGTAGGATGTAGGGGTCTTTTATGAAGTTACAATGGTCATTGAGGTGGTTCCAAAGGTACTTTGGGTGGTTATAGCCATGCTGTAGGATGTTCTAAAGGTCTTTCATGAGGCAGGATGTCCTAGAAGTCATTTTCGAGGTTCTAATGAGCCGTTTGGGTTGTTCTAGTCATGCTGTAGTTGAATTGGTCATTGCTAAGGTTCTAGAGGCTGCTAGTGGTCATTAAAGAGTCTCCAGGGTCCCATTAGTTATTCTAATGATCACTGAGACAGTTCTACAGGTTCTGTAGGTGTAAACAGATAAAACACAGACAAACTTCCCTCCTGATGGAGATTGTGCTGTAAAAGTTACTATCATTTGTCTCTACAGACTCTTTCCTGTTTCTCAGTTGTCCAGTGACCTTCATCTTCTGAGTGATGGAACACACAGTCTTTATTCTGAGTCAAACATTAGCAGCTTATCACTGTGTTTCCATCAGTTAACAATCTCTGAAGGCCACAACACCTGAGACTGTACCTGAGCAGAATACAGAACCTGAACCTTCTGTTTCATATCATATGAGATGTATGAGATCATCAGGGTCACTAGAGTTATACACAGACATCAAAGGAGATCCATCAGTATTGTCTTGTCAGAGGACAGTTTGGTGTTTTGTTTGTATCCGTAGTGGATAACATGAAGTGAGAGCGTCTCACTCTTCTGCAGTGAAAACACAAAGTCAGTATTCATTCATTCATGGAGAGAAACAAAGGGCTTCATTCATCACATGAACTTCATGATCGCTTTCATGTTTCATCAAAAGCTTCTGTCTGTTTCTGACTCATGAAACTCACATTCACAAACATTGATCCCACAAATTTACTGTTAAATCTGTTTTTTAATTAAAAAAGAAGATAAAAGCAACAACAACGTGGTTATAAAAAATCAACATGAAAAACAATAAAGTTTAAATACAGAACCAAAATCTATCACGTTAATAAAATAAAACGTTTGCACCATGTCAACATACGTAAACAATAAAATACTTAAAGGTCTCTCCAAAGTTTTAAGCTTTTTAAAATTATATAAAACTACAGCAGCAGCAAGTCCTCATATCTCAGAAGCTGGAACAATGAAATGTACTGAAAGATAACTGAAGTACAGTAAAAGTACAATATGTCTATTTATAGAAAGTGGCATGAGAAGTACAAGTACCTCACATTGTACCTAAGTGTGGTACTTAAATGTACTTTGTTACATTCCAGTGTTTAATCAAACATGACTCATCGCTCTGCTTCTCCGTCAACAGTTCAAGGATGACTCAGTGATAAAGATGTCAAACTGATTTTCTGTTGTTTCGCTGTCGATTTTACCTCCTTAATGAGTCTCTGTCTCTCTCTCTCTTTCTGTCCGTCTGTCCGTCTGTCCGTCTTCCTGTCTGTCTGTCTGTCTGTCTGTCTGCCCGTCTGTCTCTCTGTCTCTCTGTCTCTCTGTCTGTCTTCCTGTCCGTCCGTCTGTCTGTCCGTCTGTCCTTCTGTCTCTCTGTCTGTCCGTCTGTCTTCCTGTCTGTCTGTCCGTCTGTCTTCCTGTCTGTCTGTCTGTCTGTCTTCCTGTCTGTCCGTCTGTCTGTCCGTCCGTCTGTCTGTCCATCTGTCTCTCTGTCTGTCTGTCCGTCTGTCTCTCTGTCCGTCTGTCTGTCTTCCTGTCTTCCTGTCCGTCTGTCTGTCTGTCTGTCTGTCTGTCTGTCCGTCTGTCTGTCTGTCTTCCTGTCTTCCTGTCCGTATGTCTGTCTGTCTCTCTGTCTGTCTGTCTTCCTGTCCGCCTGTCTGTCTGTCCGTCCATCTGTCCGTCCGTCTGTCTGTCCGTCTGTCTCTCTGTCTGTCTGTCCGCCCGTCTTCCTGTCTGTCTGTCTGTCCGTCTGTCCGTCTTCCTGTCTGTCCGTCCGTCTGTCCGTCCATCTGTCTGTCTGTCCGTCTGTCTGTCTGTCTGTCCGTCTGTCTGTCTTCCTGTCCGTCTGTCTGTCCCTCCGTCTGTCTGTCCATCTGTCTGTCCATCTGTCTGTCTGTCTGTCCGTCTGTCTGTCTTCCTGTCCGTCTGTCTGTCCATCTGTCTGTCTGTCCGTCTGTCTGTCTTCCTGTCCGTCTGCCTGTCCTCTGTCTGTCTGTCCCTCTGTCTCTCTGTCCGCCTGTCTGTCTGTCTGTCTTCCTGTCCGTCTGTCTGTCCGTCCGTCTTCCTGTCCGTCTGTCTGTATGTCTGTCCGTCTGTCTGTCTTCCTGTCTGTCTGTCCGTCTGTCCGTCTGTCCGTCTGTCTGTTTGTCTTCCTGTCTTCCTGTCTGTCTGTCTGTCTGTCCGTCTGTCTGTCTGTCTTCCTGTCTTCCTGTCTGTCTGTCCGTCTGTCCGTAGTGCTGGCCAAGCTGATCTGGGACCTGCCGTCCTTCCTGTCTGTTCTGGACTCAGAGAACCTGAGTTACGTCGCTCAGACTCAGAAGGAACACATCTCAGCGCTGCTCTCCAAGCTGCAGACAGACATCCCTCCTGGTAATAACACTACGACTATTACTGACACTACTCGTACTGGTAATAACACTACGACTATTACTGACACTACTCGTACTGGTAATAACACTACGACTATTACTGACACTACTCGTACTGGTAATAATACTATGACTATTACTGACACTACTCGTACTGGTAATAACACTACGACTATTACTGACACTACTCGTACTGGTAATAACACTACGACTATTACTGACACTACTCGAACTGGTAATAACACTATGACTATTACTGACGCTACTCGAACTGGTAATAACACGACTATTACTGACACTACTCGTACTGGTAATAATACTACGACTATTACTGACACTACTCGTACTGGTAATAACACTACGACTATTACTGACGCTACTCGTACTGGTAATAACACTACGACTATTACTGATACTACTCGTACTGGTAATAACACTACGACTATTACTGATACTACTCGTACTGGTAATAACACTACGACTATTACTGACGCTACTCGAACTGGTAATAACACGACTATTACTGACACTACTCGTACTGGTAATAACACTACGACTATTACTGACACTACTCATACTATTCACCAATGTGCAAAGTTATTTATATCCAGCAAATGTAACTGCAGAGGTTATCTTGTGTTTCCAGTGGAAGATGCCGAGTACATGATCATGAGCTGTCCATCATCGTCTCCTGGCAAGAATCTGGCAGACACACCTGGGACAGGTACCTCCATCGTTCTACAGAGGAAACACCTTCATGTTAGCACAACATGTTAAAACAAAGGTATACTGATATTTGTAAAGGTAGAACGTGTTTCTTTGTCCAGAAGGGGTCCCGTCCTCTGAGCTGGTCTCAGATCAGGACTCACCTGTGTGGCTGAGAGACAAGGTGAGTCATCACAGCTGTTCTCACCCAATGCATGCTGGGATAGACTGCAGCTCACCTGTATTTCTACAGTGTGGTATTAGTAGTTTTACTGTAGTAGAGTATTTGTACAGTGATGTATTGGTACTTCAGTAAAGGATCTGAATACTTCAGACCCGATATGATGATCTGCTAGACGTGTAGTAAGAGTTGTTTTTACCCTCCAGCTCTCGGTGACCTCATGGTTTCTCCCTCGAGGTTCAAGAAAAATATCATTTTTATTTTAGATAACAGGAGGAGGAGGAGGCTGCTCTGTGATGTGGGTCAGTAATGACAGACCGAGTCCTCCTGAGGTTAGGGAGGAGACGGCAGGGCTACTGTGTGTGTGTGTGTGTGTGTGTGTGTGTGTGTGTGTGTGTGTGTATGTGTGTACGTGTGAGACAGGATGCTCAGTGTTTACATATGAGGCCATCTCCCCTTTATCTCTCCTCCTATTGGCTGAGAGCTCTGCAGAGGGAGGAAGTGGTCACTGATGGAGGATGATTAGCATCTGGGCTACGTGATGGATGGATGGACACACACACACACATACACTGTATCCTGGGACATTTTGTTCATATGCAACTAATTTACAGATGTTCTTCAGTAGTGAGACGTTTAGCAGAGAGGACGAAGAGAGGACTGAATGTCTCTGATACTTACAGTCACTGTTGTTCAATATTTAACTGTGACAAAGTTTCCTAAAGAGGCTTGAACCTAATCAACGGATGTCGAGACATTAACGGTGTGTTTGTCACATTCACAAGTCATACGTCTTCTGTGCTCAAAGACGAATGTGAAACAATTCACTCCAGAGCCTTTCCTGACCCGACCACGCTGTGTTTAAGGCTTGTTTGGTGCTTTGAGTTCAAATTACGTCTACGTTGATGGTTAGGGGACCGCCATCGGTGGTCACGGTTGAAAGAAACCAACGTCGACCGTCGGCAGGAAACAGGAAGTGAATATAAGGAATCCTCCCTCTGTGCATCCAGGGAGCGGTGGTGCCGCCCCTCCCCCCAGGAGGTCCAGGAGGTGATGAAGAAGAAGAAGATACGTACGAGGAGGCAGAACCTTACCAAGCTGACACCACCACGTCTAACACTGGTAGACACACATAAACATACACACCCACACACAGACACACACAGACACACACACACACACAC